ATGTCCAGTGCATGAAGACTTAATCTGTTTTGTTTCAGGAGTGGGGCAGAATGTTCCTGTCCCAATGCTGAAATACAGTGCTGTATACTGTATGTAGCTGAGGATATGTTCACTTATTATAGCGCATCAAGCAAGCACACCTGTTCTGCAGTAAAAAAGGCTACGTTCACACCAATGCGTTTTTTAGTGCTTTTTGCAGAAATGCACTACAGTACATTTAACATGGTTTCCTATGGAAAACAGCAGCAGCATTTTTGCTACAATAGAGTTCAATGGAGAATCTGGTGTAATGCATAGTAATGTGTTTTTGCAGAGTTTTTGCAGAGTTTTTGCATTTTTATTCTGCCCAGCAAAGAAAAAATTCCACTTTAAAAAAAAAAGCTGAACAAAATGCAAAATCACAGCAAAAAAAGTGTAGAAAAAACGCAAAACGAACTGCGATAAGCACTGTAAAACGGACAAAAAGCAAACGGCATAGGTGTGAATGGATCCCTAAGCACTATATTAGGACATTCTATTCGGGAGTGGATCACTAATTTTTGATTGAGTATATTTGTGGACTTATGTTTATTGTATTTTGCTCCCTATAGTTCTGTATGTTCTTTGAGAAGTTAGTGCACCGCATTTATATTTATATGTTTTTTTGAGTGAGAGTACACTTGGTGAGTGGTTGCAGCAATCTCCATAATTTTGATCTATTCACGTAGCAATAATATTATTATTATTCAGGATTTATATAGCGCCAACAGTTTGCTCAGCGCTTTACAATATAAAGGGAGACAATACAGCAACAATACAGTTCAATACAAGAGGGTTAGGAGGGACTGATCTTGGGAGCTTACAATCTAAATATTGTTTTATTATCATACAGCAGCACAAAGGTTTCACTGATTCTAGTAACACAAGGTTGCCAGATTTTTAGGTGCTTAGGGGTACAATCCATTATTGTATCGTATATTTTGCTATGGATCATGACTTGTGTCACTCATTGTTGGGTTTTGGGTATTGAGGACTTTTCAAGTACCCCACCGATACATCTAACATAAGTTTAAAATCATTTTTTATAAATATTGTTAAAAATACATAAACACCAAAAAACATGATGTTTCCAAGGCAATGTTGTTATAGCCCCTTAATCAGCAAGTCACCCTCCATGTCTTGAATGAGCAATAAACACCTGACAGAAGTTCTACTCCTTCCCTGCGCCATCCAAAACTGCTGCAGGGAACATCAGGTCTGGTATTACAGTTTTTGTATATTTATTGAGAAATCACTTTCTAAAAAGATGTAAATGTTGATTTTTTTAAACTGTTCTGAATTTTAGCAGAAGGAACACTGCATAGCTCCTAGTATTAGTAATTAAGAGTTCATTTTGATTGTTCTGCCATGTGGTGAAACCACATCAGGTTTTAAATGTGGCTTGGACATTGTACAATTATTGAAGGTTTTAATAAATGAGACATAGTGAGCTTGCTGGAAGGGGATTAGCGGAATGAAACACGCAGTAGGCCGAGCCAATTTAAATAAAATCACTGAAAACTGACAAGCTTCCTAAAGTAACCTTGGCAGTATAACAACAGAGTGTTATATAATCAGTGTCCAGTTTCTGCTTATTTATTATTTTTACATGGTTTGGGATTTTAGTCTCTGTAACACTGATTAAAATAATAGTTAATGCAGGAAGTGCATTAAAGTGGTTGTCAACCTCAGACATGAAATATGAACATAGTTTATCCCTCTAAAGTGTGTACTTGTCTCAATGAAAAACACTAAGTGCAAATTCTGTCTGCTGCTTTGTTCCTCTGCTATTAGCATGAATCACTTCTGACAAGTTCTTCTGACGCCAAGAGAACAACGGTGACAGGGGAGGGACCTCCAGCAGATTGACAGCCTCAGCTGTGTTCCTGTGAGCTGTGTGAAGGGGAGGGTGTCTTTTCCCTCCAATCAGCTCTCAGAACTCTCCTCACTGAGCTCTGCAGTGTGTAATTTCAGCTCTTCACCCTTTTCTAAACTCTCAAACAAGCTTTAAAATTCAGCACTTTGAATGGATGTAGAGAAGAGAGAAGACTGCAGATAGATGGGGTAGAACTTATGTAGGAGGATTTGTTTCAGCTCTGTGTTTCACCTGAGGCCAGTCACTTCATTGGGCATATGTGTTTACAACCACTGCTGGATCGGCTGGCAGAAAGTTCCTGTGTAAAAAATGCAGTGCAAATGGTCTACTGTATACACACATAAAATTCCAGAAAGATTGTTTTAGCTCCCAGAGTTTACGGGGTGGAATTTACGCATTTTAACCTGTATTGATGCATATGTGCGTAAAGTATTACCTAGTAACCCAGATTTTTTGGGGTTTTTTTGCTGATCCAAGGCCTTTTGCACACTGTACTGATATAAAAGCACTAAACATTCCTGGCTGAAAAAACACAAGGATTGCTTGTATTTTTAGGGTATGCACACACAGGCAGGGAGTTTCATAGTTGCTTGAATTTGTGTGTATTTGCGAGTATACATCCAAAAATACTGACTGGCAACTCAGATATCTGTATTTTTTTTTTTTTTTAACTGATCAATACGCTGTACATGTTTACACACCTGTGTGTACAGGCACATTGAAAACAACAGGCTGCATTTAGATCTGTAAGGCCTGGTTCACACCAATGCTTTTTTTAGTGCTTTTTGCTTTGTGCAGCAACGAACTACAGTCCATTTAACATGGTTTCTTATAGGACATGTGTACTTCTGTGCTTTTTGATCTGCTGTGTTTTTGGAAAGGGTCAGGGACTTTTTTAAATGCAAAAAGAAGTATTCATGTAGTGCGTTTTTTACTGCGTTTTTTCACATTTTTTTTTCTGCCCAGAAACAAAACAAGTACCCTTTAAAGGAAAAAAAGAAGACTAAAAAAATGCAAAACACAGTAAAAAAGTGGCAAAAAACAAAGCACAATGCAAAAAGCATTTAAAAAACATCAAAAGCAAAAAGCATGGGTGTGAACCAAGCCTAAAAATGCCTGCATGCTTGAAAACGTAGCATATTCAGGCAGCAGTGTGCAAGAGGCCTTATGGAGGTCTACTTTACTGGCAATTACTTTCCTGTGTGTACATTGAAAGCAATAGGCTGCATTCAGATCAATACCTGAACCTCTAAAAATGTGGTGCTTTGGTGTTCGTATGCAAGAACCCTGAAAATAACTTTTAAACAAGCCACCCCTGACCTGTCTAGATTATTTTACTGTGAAATAATTTTTTCTCAAAAGTTCTTAAAGATACCAACAAAGCACCCATCCACACATAGCATGAACAAATCCAGGCCATTTAGAGTTTTTTTTTTTTTGTGCATTTTTCCACACTTACTATGCAGTGCAGGAGCAGAATCACGTTTTTTTGCCCCATAGACTTTTAAGTGGCATCGCCTTGAAAAATATGCAGAAGCATTTGTTTTTCTGGTACCAAAAGAGCTTTATTGAGAAAAGTGAACAAAGCACATAAGGACATGGTATACACTGTGTAATTCAGTAGAAAAAGGTATATCCAGTATATCAACGCAATCGTTGACCCTTGCAGGGGTCTGCTTAGTAACCTAGAACAGTGTCGTTTATGGCAATTGACAAAAACATAGTACTTCCTTAACTAGTGTGACCTTCCGACCAAACATCAGTATAAACCTCGCAGAGTATCGTATAACTTAAGATGCTGTTCATGACAGAGAAAGAAAAAAAAAAAGGGGCGTAATTCCATATATTGAAAAGCTAGGGCCATGGAGATCTGGGTAAAAGACACCCACTCATTATAATATTGCGGGGAATGATGTCCAGCTGAGGATAAAAGAAGGCAAAATTCCCTTGTGTCTTCAAAGGGGAGAGAAAAATGACAGATAGAGAAAGAATTAATTAGGGGGGGAAGGAAGGAAAAAGGGGAGGAAGGGGAAAAGGGTGGGTTCACTGTCAGGGAGAGTTGGTCTCATTTCCGTCCCTAAAGGGGCAGGTGGTGGGGGGCACAACTGTGCAGGTCAAAGGTGGGGCAGCCGTGTAGTGAAGCTGAAGATCGGTTGATAGTCACGCCAGGGTTGTCATATTGTAAGAAACTTATCATGTTTGTCCTCCAATATCACCGGTAATTTTTCCTTGGTAAAGAAACCTTGAATTCTGGATTTAGCCTCCTCAAACTGAAGGGAAGGGGACTTTCATGCATATGCTATGGTCTGCTTGGTTGCCATAAAAAAAAACAAAAAAAACAATCCAAGTGCGATATCAGCGTGGGACATCTTTAAGCAGTCTATGGAGAGGGGCTTTCCCCGGATTTTTCTGCAAGTTAATTTGTGTAACAGAATGAAACATATTGTAGACTCTGATCCACAACCGATGGGCAAGCATTTGTTGTTCAAGTGTGTTTTAGATGAGGCCAATAAAGCCTTTGGGTACAAGACATGCAATTCTAGCTTAAAGAAGCTCACGTACTTGTTGTGTGAGATTAGTAATATGAACAAATGAATGGCAGAGAGGGTTAAAGGAGGAAAGTGAGGTGCAAAACTGTAGCAGCTGCTGCTGTTAACTGTCGCAGTTCCAGAAGACAGCCAACCAGGGCAGTATCTGGCAGTGTAAAGGAGACACTACAGGGGTGATTTTCAACAGAAACAGCAGCCTGTAGGTAATGTGAAACCTAATGTGTTTGGTGCTGTATCCCAAAAAAACTGAACTCAGCTTTAAAGATTATTTTCTCCACAATGCTTATGGCTATGTAGGTGAATGGGGCTGGTTTTAAAGCGTTCCTACTGCTTGTTCAGAATAAGTAATACCATAGTGTGGATAGCCTAGTCACAGGTTCGCTTTGAAACCTCTGTCAGGTTTTTAGCACTGTCTTTGTCCCCATCTGGGAGCATTTTATGCACTGTCCACTGAGGTACAATAGAAAGTAACTGTAAATTTCCCCAACAAAAAATGAGAAACTCAAAAAATTAGCAGTCTGCATTTTAAACACCCAGCTTTTTTTTCTTTGCTTTAGATATGATTCTGGATCAACAAGTAGCTTCAGGCCAACTAAGTGAGGATGTCCGTCATAGAGTTCACGAGGCTCTCCTGAAACAACACCATCATCAAAACCAAAAGAAATTAAGCAATCGAATACCAATTGTGCGCTCATTCGCTGATATTGGCAAGAAACAGTCAGAGCCTCATTCTATGGACAAAAATGGTAAGTTCTTAGTTTTCCTTCACTGAATCAATATATTTTATTTCTATGGGTAGAAATATTGTACATCATGGTTTTGTTAGTTTTGTTATGTGCACTATGCTATGAAACCTTTGGAAGTCTATGTTCAACCTGTTCAGTTTTTGTACCTGTGAATTATTGCTTTGTGTTATTCGCACTCATAGTTGTATTTAATTATCTCTGTTTCTCCCATGGATGATATATGCACACTCCTGTGGGTTCCTTCAATCCTTGAGATATGGTTTGCTCATAGACAATAAGTCTGTAATATGCATGAAAAGTCATATATAAATTGTTTCTAATTTCTGCTCAACATCATACTTTACTGGAAACCTGTAATGAAGAAGATCAGCTCCACTGTTGACTATGCAGCATAGGGTCTTAAAGCTACCCTATTGCAAATCATTATTGTTAAAACTGCCTTCTTTTACAGGTAACAGCAGTCTCAACAGTAGTTTTTGTAGTGTGGTCCCTTTAAAGTATTTAAACCTGAGAAAGCCAGTCAACTATTACTTTTAGAAAGGAGTCAACAATTGTTTCTGCATTACTCTCATGAGTTTCTTTTATGTTTTTCAATTTCTTTTTGAAATTCTGAGTTATTCCAGACTATTTTGTACCATTTCTTCCAGCCCAACTCAAAACACCCTAACCTGATTATAAGTTCAATAGTGTACAGTACAGTTACAGTATTTACTAAAGTCAAAGAGACTGTTAATTGTGCAAGGGAATTTTCCTCAAAGTGAATGAGTTGAAGATCTGCTGACATCCATCATCCAGCCACGTGTAAGCAAAAATGCTGTGTTTTTATTCCTTGTACGTGATTGGGTGCTCTTTGCAAAGTGACATTTCATTACATTCACTAAGTCCTTGGGAAAATCCCCTTTCACAGTGCAATTGCCTTTGCAAAATGAGCAGTCTATTTGTCTTTAGACAAGGAACCCCACTGTGTTTCGGGCAATCTGAAGAATGTGGTATGTTTAGCTTCACTCATAAAATAGCAGGCTTAAAGTATAAATGAATATTTAGTATAGTTATCCTTGCCATACAGTTTCTTCACTGAAACGACCAGCCAGGCCGTATATGTGCAGTAGATTCCCTAGTCATTCGTACGGGAAGGCCATCAATTGGGCATCCACTACATATGTGTGGCCTGGCCTGGGAGAGTTTCTATGAAAGGGCTGTTTGCCACCCATATGGACTTTCTAGGGAAGGGGGGAACCACATTTTAAGGATAGCTGTACTAAAAGTATACTTATAATGAAACGTTCATTTTTAGCTCTGTATGCCCACCCTTAGCACTCCTAACAAGGCACATGGGTAATCTGTTTGCAGGCTTTGTACTGTGGCCTTTTGGTATCTCCTTTTCTTGAAAGGCCCTCCCACACTTATATGTCACATTCTCCATTGCCTCCAATGAAGAGTTCATCTCTTTGTGCCTTCTGCTTAAGTATATGAAACTAGAATATAAATCTGCCTTGAATTTGGAGTTCTCATCACTTTTCTGTGCTTGGGCACATTGTATAATACAATTCCTGTGGATGTATATAGCCTAGTACTAGGCAAGGGGAAGGGGAGAATAGTTATTCAATGGGACATATTTATAAAGAATTTAATCTGACATTCACCAGAAATTCATTGCAGGTAAATCTTCCTGTTTCTGTGGTTTGAATGACAGTGTTTGTTTCACTACTAGGGATTAGGTTTGGGTTCACCAGTTCCATGGGTTTGCAGTCTCATGGGATCTAGTATGTTCAAAATTATTATTATTAATATTATAGAGGACTTATATAGCACTAACAGTTTGCGCAGAGCTTTACAATATAAAGCGAGACAGTACAGCTACAATACAATCAAAGCAAGAGGATTAAGAGGATAATAAGAGTTTACAATCTAATAGGGTGAGTCAAGTGGTACACAAAGTTCTAACTGTGGGGGATGAGCTGATGGAATTGATAAATGTCTATTCTGAGGCATGATAGGCTTCACCGAAGAGATGAGTTTTCAGGGATCGCCTAAAGGCAGCCAGAGTACAGGATAGCCGGACAAAATTTGCAGTTCCAGTAATTGTTGAAATTCACCAGGCCAAATTTTGTAACCATGATGCACTGCCTGACCTTTGAGCTGTAGTCACCCAGGTTACAAAGGCCAATAATAGTTATGTGCCGGCCCTCCCTACGGTGGCTTCCCAGCAGCCGTTTGTCAGTGTATGTTAGAGCAGTTTAGAGAGAGCTGACAGTCTGTGAAGGAGAGTTAGTTTATGTGCTATATTGTGCTAAATTATTGTATGGTTGACTTCTTGCCTTTGCGTACTCCACCCCTGTGTTGTTGTTGATGTTGTGGGTTCTTTTTGTTTGTTTTTTTCAGTTTCCTTTTATTTCATGTTTATCTATTTTCTTTTTTTATTTTCTGGTTGGTTTAAAAAAAATGGGTTGGGATCTAGTGTCATAGGGCTTAATTTTTTGAAAAGTGTTTTTTTTTTTGGGGGGGGGGGGGGGGCTCTTTTTTCAATTTCAGGGTCAGCAGCTCACATTTGATGCTGACACAGAAAAAGCTGCCCTTTTTGTTTTCAGCAAATCACTGCATACTTTTGTGGTAAAGTAGTGTGCATCAAAACACCAAATGTTAACCTTATTGCGATAGCAGCCATTAAAGTATTGCTAACCCCAGGACCCTGCATTCACTGTATCTGGTCTCCTACAGTAGAACATGGAAATGCAACTATTTTAGTAAATATAAACTGCTAAATACCTTTTCTCATCAGCAGTATATAGCAGTCTTGTGACTTCTATCAGTGTCCAGCTGAGCACAGGTAAAGCTTGTAGGAGGAGTTTTCATTCTTGTCTGACTGTCCTATTAAACTACATGACCCCTGACCCTCTGTTTGGACAGTGCTTACTCGCACTGTGCCGATCACATGCACCCTCCCAAAAAAAAACCCAAATAACTCTCTAGCAATACACACCAAACTGAGCACGTACAAAGTGACTCCTAGAGCTCTGTACTATCAGCAGATGGATTGAGGACTGTGGAAGAAGGGGAGAATCATCTAACTGTCCTATTAAACTGCATGACCCCTAACCCTCTGTCTGGACAGTGCTTACTGGCCCTGTGCTGATCACATGGATTGCGGACTGTGGAAGAGGGGGAGAATCAGAGACGACAGGATCAGAAAGCCTTTTTACATAATGCATAGGTTTAACCTCTTAAGTTCCATAGTGAATATAACAAGCATGCTTTACGGCATATACAGACTGATTTTACTGTTGCCGGTGTAGTCACATTTCAAATTTAGGCAGCACCTGTTATTAAAATGTCAGGAAAGCTGAAAATGAGCGGCAGAGGTTCTGCACATGGAGGTTTTGGAACACAAAACACTATCTAGAGGCCTTTTCTCACAGTAGCCATGCTCTACAGTCACAGCATTTGTAAATTCAGTCTTGGATGACCAATGACTACAAAACCCCTGCTGTTGATGCTACAGACTAAGTTTTCAATTTTCATCTGCCCCCCAAACAAAGGAAGAATATCCTGCTATCGTTACTGGTGCTCCAGCCCAATAAACGTGCCACACATCGACATTGTTTCCACAGCTGGACCTTAGCTGCCAAAGTTATGTTTGTTGCAGGGAAAATTCTTCTTCAATTTTAGAGTTTGCAGCCTATTCTAGTGCTCCTGCACTAATGGTGGACCTCAGTGGAGGAAACATTGTAAGGATATGTTTTTGTTTTTAATTTTCCATAAAAAAGAGTCATACAGATAGCAAGTAAAGCTGGACACAAATTAAAAGATTTTTTTGCAGACTGAAAAAAATCTGACAGATTTCTCCATCCACACCGAACAGTGTAGATGGATGAATCTGCCATGATGGCTATTATATTTTGACAGATGGCACTGGCAGCTGTCAGAATATCTGAGCAGTGGCTGCATTTGATTGCATGTAATCACTGTTTGCCTGACAATTTTCTGCCTGACTCCTTCGATTTTTCACTTAAAAGATGTCGGGTGGGTGGTGTTGACAGGATCACCCACAGAGTGATATTCAGCAAGTTGATTAGGAACTAGCTGAAATTTGCTCAGTGTATGGACAGCTTAAAGTGAAACTTCACTGTACCCGAGCACCACAAACCAAAAACTCTATTTAATTAAATTGTAATATTCAAAGCAAACCCCTCCATCCATCCATGTCTCCATGCTTTATTTTGCTAAGAAATCACTTTGAGTAATATCCCCCCCCCCCCTAGCATTTTTGGTCGTGGCCATCTTGAGTCAGGGCAGATTATACATTTAGCATGTACTTCCTGGGATCCATCTGCCCTTAGCTCAGACATGCAGGCAGAAGGGTGGTCTTTGCTGAGAAAACCCCCTCCTGAAGACTCCTGGGATGTATGACATCATTTGCCTAGGCATGGAAACCAGGAAGTAACTGAAGAAATGTAAAAAAAAAAAAGTTGAAAACAAGTAACTATGATATACTTTCCTATCTATTTGCTAATGCTAGCAGCATAAGGATTCAAATAGTGTTGACTGAGAGGATGAAGTTCCACTTTAAGAATCATTAGACTGACCATATTTTAAGTACATTTTTCATTTCATATTGTATAATGAGGATTTTATGCAGTCGGGTTTAAAGCTCACATCACAGTTGAGAGTGGGCATTTGATAAACATTTCAGTGAACTCATTTTGTGCGGGGGTACACCTCCCCCACATTTGGATGTGAACTAAGGCTCTAAGAACATTGAAGGAGTGATGTACTTTATGTGCATATTTATCGCAACAATTGTTTTGATATCTGTTGCTCACAAAACATTTCAAGTTTTTAGATGGTTACTGGTAGACCAGGGCCCCATGATCACATTTCATCCATAATCTTTCTGTTGGCGCGTTATCCATTTGAGAGAAGTGCAGACATGCACCTTATTTATGTCAGTCATTACTATTGTGCAGTCAGTTTCTCAGAATGGATTTATAAATCTAAAGCTA